AAAATCTCATGGACATAAACATGAGTGACTTCTTCATGAACATATCTCCCCCGGCAAGGAAAACAAAGGCAAAAATGAACAAGTGGGACTATATCAAGCTAAAAAGCTTCTGTACAGCAAAGGACACCATCAATAGAACAAAAAGGTATCCTACAGTATGGGAGAATATATTCATAAATGACAGATCCGATAAAGGGTTGACATCCAAAATATATAAAGAGCTCACACACCTCAACAAACAAAAAGCAAATAATTCAATTAAAAAATAGGCAGAGGAGCTCAACAGACAGTTCTCCAAAGAAGAAATTCAGATGGCCAACAGAAACATGAAAAGATGCTCCACATCGCTTGTCATCAGAGAAATGCAAATCAAAACCACAATGAGATATAACTTCACACCAGTAAGGACTGCCATCATCGAAAAGACAAACAACAAATGCTGACGAGGTTGTGGAGAAAGGGGAACCCTCCTACACTGCTCGTGGGAATGTAAATTAATTCAACCATTGTGGAAAGCAGCATGGAGTTACCTCATAGTGCTTAAAATAGAAATACCATTTGATCCAGGAATTGCACTTCTAGGAATTTACCCTAAGAATAGAGCACTCCAGTTTGAAAAAGACAGATGCACCCCTATGTTTATCGCTGCACTATATGCAATAGCCAAAATATGGAAGCAACCTAAATGTCCATCAGTAGATGAATGGATAAGAAGATGTAGTACATACACACAATGGAATATTACTCAGCCATAAGAAAAAAACAGATCCTACGACTCGCATCAACATGGATGGAGCTAGAGGGTATTATGCTCAGTGAAATAAGCCAGGTGGAGAAAGACAAGTACCAAATGATTTTACTCATATGTGGAGTATAAGAACAAAGGAAAACTGAAGGAACAAAATAGCAGCAGAATCACAGATCCCAAGAATGAACTAACAGTTACAAAAGGGAAAGGGACTGGAGAGGATGGGTGGGAAGGGAGGGACAAAGGGGGAGAAAAAGAAAGAGGGCACTACGATTAGCATGTATAGTGTTGGGGGGGCATGGGGAGGGCTGTGCAACACAGAGAAGACAAGTAGTAATTTTACAATGGACAGTGACTGTGAAGGGGTATGTGGGGGGGACTTGGTGAAGAGGTGTGCCTAGTAAACATAATGTTCTTCATATAATTGTAGATTAATGATACCAAAATTTAAAAAATCAGAATAAAAAAAAATAGACAAAGAAATCAATGAAAGAAACAGAAACCTAGAAGAACTTTATTTGGCCAGAGCCAATTCATTTTTATCATAGTACAAATTTTTTACATGACACTAAATACCTCTACTTACTGTCTGTTCTGCTGACTTATACAAAGAAGAATCATGAGAATCAGGTAAATTACTTCTAAGCCTTTTCTTTCTCTTCTTGGAAATCAGAGTAGGTTCCATTTTTGAGTCAGAATATGTATAATCCTTGTGTCTGCTCCCTTCTTCAAGATGATCAGAACCTCTGCTTCCACTACTGAGGTCTTAAAAAACAAAAGAAACATAAATATGGCCAAATAGTACAGAGACTTCCTTTTACAATCTCAAAGAAGCATCATTAAAATCCTATACCACTTACAATGTTAATTTTAAAAGAAGTCTCTGTTAAGTTCTTATATTGACATGGATGAATATAAAGATACCCTATTTTAAACTGCATAGACAAAGTTAATGTTCATTGTACAATAAATATAAAGTGAGCAAAATGTACAAAAACCAAGTATTCTTTTGTAACACAGCAAAGCAACAAAGCTCTTTTTTTCCTTTTGCTATAACTACACTGGATTGTAACAAAAAAAGGGGAAACCAAAAAAAAAAAAACAATTTGGAAAATTCATGTCTTAAAATGTTTTGATAATTAATTGTAAATATACATATGCACTTTTTAAGGGGAAAAGAAAGGATAATTATTTTCAGGGTATTGATCATGCTCTTAAAAAGTTGAAGTCAAATATCTTTCTTCACCAGCTGATTGTGATATGTGATCACTCACAAGGCTGCCAACTTGTTTCAGCTTGTTTCTTCTTTTTAAAAATAAAGATCCTGTATTTTTAAGTCTCAAACAAATCTATTACCCTATAGAGAAGGAAGTGTTCCCTTTTTTAAGTCAATAAAGCATTATTTTGAAACTCATATCAATTATTACTAAAAATGCTTAGTATTTCAGTTATCAAATATATGTACTGTACAAAAATACCTCCCAAAAGTACATACCTTCCAATCTCTATATCATCAAAGCACCAACTCAGAATTTATACAAAGCAAATACAAAGGTAACTTCTTTGAATTCATAACTTACAATTCATGTAATACTGACTAGTCCAACCTCTCTCTTCACTCAAAGTTCAACCCTAAAAACTCTTCATAGTATTCTTGCTCTTACTCTACCTTCATAATCCTTGACTAACTCATGATACCTCTCTGTCATTGCTTAAAACGAAGGCATTGATAGGATTGAAGACAAAAACTACAAAAGAGTTAAGAGTATTCCAATTTCCAAAGAAAACATTCTTTACTCCCTCCTCCAGGAAAATAAACCCCCCTCAAATCACCAATACAGTATTTTGGACAGCACAATAAATTTTATTTGTAAGTTTGTAAACTACACAGATAGTCAAGTATAATTTCTACACATAAATACTGTATCAAATTGCAATTTCCAAACATACATACTATAGCAAAGTCACTAATGAAAGGAGCTTGAGAAAAGCGATTATATAGTCTTCCTTCAAAGAGTTTATTATTTGCACATGAGCCAAGACTATCTCATGGAAAAAAAGAATAAATTTATTAGATAGAGCTACACATTGAAAAAATAGGATTCTACCTGCATAATATAACAATTTAGCTTGCAAATATTACCAGAATGTAAAATTTAAAAGGTGAAAAATTCCTGGCAAAAGAATATTTAATATTTCTAATGTATTATTTTCATAAAAGCAAATTCCATAAGGCCAACGTAATGCACTACAAAAGAATGGCACCCCTGGGGTTTAACTCAGAAGTCCCATTAATTTATAGGCTTATGTTAAAAAGCTGATATTAAACACAATTATCTATAGGATGAAAACAAGGTAAGTTTTAACAAAGTTTCACTATCTAATTTTCTTAACACTTTACCTATGAAGAGAACCTTTAGGGATACTAAGGAATTATAAAGTATTTCTTTTATCATGCATTTTTCTCCCTACTCTAAGTCTAAAATTTCACTGTAACTTTGAAGCAATATGAAAGGACATAAATAAGAGAGCTTTTTATTCAACAATTGGGAAGTAATTGTTAATTTATTAATCATATATGCACAGGGGCCTCCAAAGAATTTTCAGAAGCCTGGGATGTATTTAGCTTTAAATTTGCTAATAGTAACTTGTATTGGCATTCTCCTAGACCTGAGAGAAATTCTAATGAATAAAGAACATATTTCATAGCAGGAGGATAGAAAGTGTGAAGCTAAGAATAATAATCAGTTTAGCAGTAATATAAATTACCAGACATATCCATGGAAATGACAAATGAGAAATCCTTAGAGTAATATTATAACTTCACAGCTATCTGCCCAGGCCCAACAAAAAATAAATAAATAAATAATATTCAAATTTAACTTCTGGATTTAGTAAATAAATAAAAACTGTATGCTATAGTATAGAAAGAGTAAAGTCAACAATTTTCTTTGTGTTGCTAAATAATCT